CTTCTTTCAAGAAGAAGAGCTTATTCTCCCTGATTTAAAATGCAAGCCTTCCCAAAACTAAGAATCCTCTTCTGAATTAAAAAAAAAAAAACAAACAAAAAAACCCAAACTTTTATAAAAGCACTAACCACCTGGATAACACATGTATAAAACCTGAAGATTCTGCCAGTCTCAACCAAAAGGAAAGTCTTTTGGACTTCTAATACCTTAGAGCCTCTTGAGACAGTGCTCGAGAAAAACTTTTACCATTTCCTTGGTGATGTAATACACCTCATTTATCCCTTCAGAGTTATAAGGCTTCAAAGAGTACTATCTTCGATTTAATTCAAAATCCCATGTCTCTAAGTAAAGACCCCAAGTCACTGGAACAGTCAAAGCTTTCATGAAAACAAATGCAACATTCATGTTACTTTAATCCTTTAATTTCTTTAAAAAAATGAGAAGGGGGTATGTCACGATTGCTCCATCAAGCCAAAACATTAACTCAGTAAGTCTTAGTTCCTACTTTCACTGTAAGTTTATCTTTACTCTGCTGTTTTATATTTGGTAACAAAATATTTTATATTAATCATGAATGATTTACTAAACTGTCCCCAAGTCCCCAGATTTTTCTTTGGCAATGTTAAAGTAATAAAACAAATCTTATATGGAAGTGGTATCTCCTTATCTGCAGACTCAACATCCACCTGACTGAGGACAAACAATTTTTTAGCACAAAGTTTTGTCAAGCTTGAATATCTAACAAGTAGAAGCAATATGCATAAAGCTTCCAGATTTGCATCCACTATGGCTCTGCTTCCTGGCCACTCCACAAGAACAGCAAAAAGTCTAAAAAAATACCCGTATCATCCCTGCACAGTAAACATTAACCTTTTCTTCTTTTAAACAAATTATTTAGAAGATAAAAGGAAGTCTCACCACCTGATTCAGCAGAACTGTAATCTTCAAAGCTTTATTGTTCTTATGCTAAAATTGCCTGACTGAAGAAATATTAACTAGCATACTTTAAGGTTTTTTCCAATTGCTTTCTCATATATAACCAAGTTCTACAATGTTCTTCTAGTGCATGTGTTTAAAAACCGGTGAAAAAAACCCACCTTTTATTTTATAAGGAAAATTAGTGGATAGTAAATTCCTCCTTTAAAACAAAGAATCAAACATATTTTCTGGTCTAAAAGGCAAAGGAGAAGCCAACAAATTCATACCATTACAACACAGAAATTTATTTTCATTTATATGTCATCATTTAAATGGTTTACAGATACACAATGGTGCTGCAGTTTTTAAAATGTGTCTTTCCCATCTAGTTTATCAACTCTTGCCCCATGCATATGACAGTGTCCTTTTCCCTAATTGTTCATCTAGTTTTACTTTTCAGTATTTTACATTGACGTGCGTCTTCTCTGTTCTTAATTTACAGCCATTTGGCAGAAATTCTTTTTCTTAAAACCAGGGTTGTAGATTCTTGGTTATGATTCTCAGTGGCTGCTGACACTGTACCCCAGCTTCTACTACCAAATTCACGATTCTCTTGAGGTCTTGCTTGGCTGTCAAATTTGAGGTCTCAATTTCTTCTGTTTTGTTCTTATTCAACTCTGACACAGAGCAAAATATATTTAAACCACATAAATTATAAAGTGGGTTTCTATCTCGAAGAAAATGATAAGATTTTGAATGTCTTCAAATTTTTCCATTAATTATTCCTAGAGTTACTTATGGGTGCCATGACTGGAAGTCATTCTGCTTCACCTGTTTGCAGAAGACTACACTGACCCTTTCTGATCTTTCTCTGAATTTTGCAGACTAACAGTATTAGTGAAGGAAATTTCCTTCTCTTTAATACTATACTTAATTTCTTTGGTTTAGTTCAAAGCAGTAAAGCAAATCTCTTCAAATTAACTTACAGCAGAAGAAAATTAACTTTTAATTTACATTTCTATGACAATTACTAGTGTGATACAAGACAAAAAAAAAAAAGACACAGAAGTAAATATAAAAATATCTTTTCTTTCTCACACACAGATTATTTCCTCTGGTGATAAATTGAAGAAGATAAACTAAGAGAAGAGAGATTTCATTAAAAACAAGTCAGGCTTCTCTTTCCTAGTATTATGTTCCAAAACCATGCGTTAGTCAGAAAGAAAGTTGTCTTTCTTGAAATAACAGTACTGCTCTTAAAGCTCTTTTTATATGTCTGATACCAAAAGATTAATTTGCATGTTCACTTACATTCAACTACACTCAGTTGTTTCATTACTTGGCAGTAAACATAACAACAGTATCAGGTGACAATTTCGAAGTAGGAAGCATAAAGAATTATACAACATAGCATAAAGAATTAAGTAAGGCAATTGTTACATGGCCACAGTTTTACATTTCATTTTCTAAAATGTTAGACTGTATGTTTTACTTTTGGCCGTTACAGAGCTGACTTGACAGATTATGTTGTCTAAACAATAATTGCAAGAAAGTCAATAGTGCAGTTATAGCTCTTGAAAGAGAAATCTTATAGTAAAAAAATATAAATAAGAAACAATTCTGAGTGGAAGGCTCTACCTAGAAAAATTAATGTCTGCACACAAACTGCCTATAGTCTCAAGTGTTTTTCATTGCTAAACCAAAGTCACATCTGACACTGTATATAAGCTCTCAGTTGGCACATTAGCTCTGCAGGACTTCTTTTGTTGTCAGAGGATTTTAGCAGTTGTCATATGTTTATAATAGCAATGGCCTAAAGGAGGCAGGCAAATTCTTGGCAGAGGTAACAAGTGAAAATTTCTGCAAGAAACAAATTTCTACATAAAAGTCCATCCTCCCCAAAGAATTTGTACTCTTTAATCAGAGAATAAAGAGTGTAACTTCAAGTATGCTATACATTTATGTGAGAGAATTTTGGAAATCTCAAGAAAAATCTGCATTTTCCTTAATTGAACATAGATTAGGTATTTGAAAAATGAACCTAACTCAAAGGAGAAATCATCATATATTATAAATGAATAAGATAAATTATTCCTGTTACTATCAAAATTGTCAGAGCTATTCAGTATTAAAAAAGATGGAATTAACTAACGACTACACACATGACTACATCAAGAGCAAGATATTTACAGGACAATTAATCACACCACTCTCCAGTACCTCAGTGCTACTCACTGTCACAAGTACACCACTAGATACTCCAACAGTATCAACTGTTTGATAAACTAGCAGCTTGAGCTGAAAAACCCGTCCTTTTGAAAGGCCTGAATTTCTTCCTCAGAAAAGCACTGACATCTCAGTATATTTAAGACTTTGTCTGAAAGAATACATCCATCAGTATTAAACTACTTATATCATCCTGTCCTGTGACAACTTCAAAGGCAATTTCAACAAGAAGAAACTCTGGCAGAACACTCCACAGGGAAGGCAAACCTACCCTGAGTCACTATGTCAACTTAATCCATCACTTTCCCACCCCGAGACATATTTCATGCTCCCCAGATCCATAAATATAGAACACTGGCCAACCTCATGCATCCAGCTACCGGAGTCCTTCACCAAAAATCTTCAGGATTCATCAAAACTCTCCTCAAACTCCATTACCATAGTCATCCTCCTATCAATCTCTTTATGGTCTACAAGCTATAAAATTGCCGTCTTTTTCTTCACTGTAGTAAACAACTACTTTATTGCTCTCCCCTCTATTAACAGATGCTCTACACCACTGGTACCAATTTTCTTTCTGGATAGTCTAATGATTTATATCTAACTAAACTCTCTTGTTCTCAGCTTGAATTTAGCTTTGAAGTCAGCTGCTTATATTTTTGTTGTAAACAAGAGTTTCAGTGCCTGAAGGCTTATCAGTATAGTAAAATCACAGTCATGAAAACTGACATCTTACCACTTGATACCTTTACAGTCAAAAGAAGTAAACAAGCTATGTACAAAGTAAAATCCCTGTTTACACTAGAAATGTAAGCAACACAGACTATAATAATGGCTAACATCAAAAAAACAACTTTTTGTGTAGCTGATTAGGTATGAGGCTAATAATTGTGTTTAACACTGGAAAGGGAAATGGGGTCTCTTTCCAAAGAGTTGATTTTTAAACTTCCATGATATACTATTTTACTTCTATTTTACTTCAAATTCTAAAGGTCTTTTTTTGTTGTTGTTATTCAGGACATAAAAAAATATAGTAATATCAAATTCCAACACCCAAATGAAACATATCTTGTTTAAAATTCTTCAGACTATAACATTCAAGTATGCCACCAAGAAATCAGTGAATTTACAGACTGTTCCCCCAAATATTTCCAGCATTAGAAACTACAAAATTCAACTTTTGGAAGAGTAATTTAACTGCTATTATAATATATTTAATTTGTAATTCCTACAATTGTTAAAAGTGATGTTGGGAATGTCTCTCAATTTGTGTTAAGTGATGTAGAATTATCCTTACAGAAGCACCTCTCTAAAAAGTAACTCTAGAAACACTTCCGGTTCATTACCAGTTTAGGTTTCCAATTTTCATAACCCTCTCTTTATTTTGTACCTATTCTATTTTTTGTCTTAGAAAAATATCTTTTTACTAAGAGAAACAACGGAACTCCAGCATAATAAGGAATAAATGTAACATCTCTTCTCTTCCAAAGGTATAAAGAAAGAAACAGTCACCTAAACTGTCTACAACATAAAAGCCAGTATGTGAGCTAGTCACCTTGGGCTCCTTTTGAAGTCAGTGGACAAAACCAGGCACTTTCAAGGCATGATTAATCTCATTTCAATATACGTACCTGAAAAGGTTGCAGGAATTTTGCTCTGAATGTGCCAACTTCTCTCCATACACATAGTCTAGATGAAAGATAAACTAACAAGATCGCTGTGCACTGCAAATATCAACTGGGTGCAGTGATGAATGATAGATGTCACAAGAAAATCTACCACAACATTAGGAAGGCATTCAAAAGAAAAAAATAAAATACACAAAGAAGGTCCATAGAAGGGTAAAATATACTAACTGCATTATGCTTTCTTTGCTCTTGCATGGCTTCCCGAACAGCGTGGGCAATCTTATGTCTGTCATGTTCTGCTTTCCACATTTTTCTTTCTTCTGCATGAATCTTCTCCATATTTCTCCTCTCTTCCTCTACTGCTTTCAGAACAGCCTCCCACACTACTTCTTTTTCAGCCTTTGAAACAAATCAAGCACACATAAATGACCAAAATACCCAACATGGGTGCCTAATACATATTATTTCTTCTAATGAGATTTATGAGCTGACAAGATATGGGACCTGAATATTTTCACTTCTGAACTATGAGCTTAAATTTATCTTAAGGTGCTACCAAGCAGGTATTACCACTGGACAATGACTTTGTAGTTACAGAAATAAAAAGAAAGTTACAAGCAAGGATCTTAAATTCCCACCTACTGAAAACACAATATATCATAACTAGCTTGCTTACAGCCAACACAAAAAACATGCAGCAGAAACCGTGTGAGAGTAGGTACATCATGGACCTCTCTACATTGCTTGATATTCCCATATATGAGATATTCCTGCTCTTATCTACAAGTATCTAAAGTCCAAAACCAGTCTGAATGCTTTCTGTGGCAAAGTAGCCAATACTTACTTAATACAAGTGTCTTCCCTCACAAAGCTCCTTAGCTATACATTCTACAAGAAGTACTGTTTAATCGTTTTTTTTCATATTCATATAACCATATTTCAATGGTTTATATTCAACCATTACATGATATCATCAGATGACTCACACTGAATTTGAAGTTACAAGGACAGCCCTGCACATGCTGAGCCACACAAATATATTTATCAGCAAAACAATCATTGCATTACATCTATGAATAAATAATAGCAGGCCGAAGCTCAAAATAAACAAATGTGGGCTGACAAACCACACCCACACAACCCTCAATTTTAATAAGCTTACAGGTCATTCCAATGCCCTTTGGTGGTGATTATGGAACTAGTCAAGGGAAGTTATAAGTTTCAAAAAATACTGGGTTCCTCAAATATCTACACTTATAAATAAAGCTGTTTCTTGCAATTCATTGGGATTTGACTTTTTATTTAGGCATTTATAAAATGCAATAGAAGTATAAGTTAAAAAAATGCCCTATTAAATTAAGATATTTTATTATACATGCATTTTCCCCTAGATACCAACCATGTAACAGATGTTTCTTGTGTTATTGAATGCTATTCAGAGAGGTGCTCAGCTAGTGTGCATATACTACATATGAAGATAAACAGGAAATGATAATATTGCCTAACCAACTTGCTACGTAACATACATCACTAGTTTTCCCAGCTATTTACATGCAACTGAAATTCTGTACTGGATTCTACATCAGTATTAGAAATGAAAGATAGCTTAACATTTACAAAATTACTGTCCTAACTCAAATGCACTTAATAATGAAATAGACTGAAGAAATCATATTTTAAAAACTGAATACTCACTTTTAGTCAAACATCAACTGAAATAAAATAATTGAAAACCTGTTAAAACGTCCAAATTTTTATGTGATTTATAAAACAGTTCTGTCCTCATTGAAAAGGACCACATTTAACAAAAGTTAAATAAGACACAACGCTAATTGTCTTAAGATCATCAGTAGACCCTGCTACTTAGCTCTTCACATCAAGTTGTATTGATGCTGTTAACTGAAAGACCACGAGACCACCAATAACTGAACTGCAATATTGCGACTTCTTGTTATAAACTAATTCAGAGGCTATCTTAGACAGAAGTAAGTTACATAGACTATCTGTATTAAGGCATAGGATATAGCAGATATGTTCATGATTTATAGAACTAGCTTCTTTTAAACACAGATAAGAACATAGAGTTTGACAAATTTAGTTATGAAACAAGAATGAGTTGCTGAACTTGGCATTTGTAATGACACACATGGAATCCACATTGCATGTCTACTACTTAACAGGAGATACCTTTAGGGCAGCTGCCACAGCCTCCTTACTTCTTTGTCTTTCTTCATCCAAACATTGGTCAAGCACTTCCTGTAAATGTTATGAAAAATTAAACTGCAATACACAATAGAGGAGTGGCTAAAAATCATTTCAAACAAAGTGCTTGAGAGAGCTTCCTCTTCCTGTCAGTGATTGTGACAGGATCATTCCCAATGAACTCCATGGTACAGATCAGAGTCAGGTTTTTTGATAAATAAAAGCAATACCTTGTGTTTTTGCGACTGCTGCATCAAAGCTTCTTCTATCTTTCCTGATAACACTTCCTTCTCTGCTTCCAAAATGTCGAGAAGTCGCTGATGCTATTGGGAGAAAACATCCACATTGTTGTAACCACAGTTTGATAGTAAAACAGACAAGAAGAACTCATCCAAGACACTTAAGTTTGTCAGCTGCATACAAACAACTTAAAATGTATATTCAGTTCAATGACATATACAGCACTCCTTTAATTGATTTTATGACATGAAAAAAATTACAAGAGTAAGAAATGTTTAGCTTCCTGATTATCTAATATTTCCTCTCAGTCTGAAGACTACTAGGAAAGAAGTTGGAAAAAAAAATCACTATATAAAGGGAACACTTACAAAATTTATAAAGATGATCTAAGCAACACAACACTTTAAACATTTCATTTAAACAGCTGCAGATTTTAAATGGTGCTTGCACTACCTCCCAGTTATATGTAGAGAGGGCAGAAGGAAAATGTATTTTTTTCAACCATTTGTAATACCATGAACTTTGAAAGCCAGGAAATGAGAGCTAAAGAGAATGCTGCTTTTTTCTAATTTTCTTGTAATCCGAAACATTTTTTCAGGAAGACATGAACACTGAAATAAAGTGACCAAGTAGTCTATATGTAGGTGTATAATCTGTCACTGTTCTTAATCACAAGCCATTTATCTGTTTTTCACTAAACCAAGTAAAGCATTTGAAAGATGTGCGTTTTCTCTGTAAGAGCTAAGCTGTTTTCCAAAACTAAAAATTATTACTGGAAATTATTGATGTTGGGTATTTGTCATGAGATAATTGCTAGCAAATCAGTACACTTTTTCACGTTATTTAGGAGATGATATATTATAAACTTAAAGTATAGTATCAATACATAATAATATTTTATGAGATCACCAAAAGGAAAGTGTAACAGTAGAGTTCTATATTAATAAAAGTGTATATAACAAACAAAAATTTTTACACAAACACTTATGCAGGCAAATACCCCTTTCACCAGCATTTCTAAGAAACAGTCATTTCTGTTTCATGAATTTTATTATGTTTTAATTATAAGTGCCTCTAATGGCAGCTAGAAATACATTACCAAACTGCAATACTATGTTCTGAAAAATATTTTTTCATTTGAAGAATAGAATAGAAAACTTCTAGACTGCTTTATAAAATAAAACACCTATCTGCCCTTCCAGGATAAACATGTAAAGAGGCATTTCCTTGTGAATTTACTTAAAATAGGTCTGAATGGAGCAGACATATTCTAATGGAAAACACCTGTGGAAGGAGTGGTGAAATTCACATCATGGTTATACTTAATGATGTGTAAGTAACTTTTCTTGTGGACTCAGTATTTTCAGACATTAGCTTTAACTATCAGGGCACTTATAGAAATTATTTTTTCCCAGTAACTCAAAGGTGAAACAATAAATGGATTTTATTAATTAAGTGATCTCCATGACTCTTCACTTAACTGACTGCACAGACTATAAATCTGTTATTACATTTTTATTTGAAAGAATGACACAATAGAAGACAAACATATGCAAATATTTTATCAGACATATGCCACAAATCAAAGTTTACTAATGTTAATTAAAAGACTGAAACTTTATTTGCTTCAGTCAAGAATCAGCAAGAGACTTTCTAAGGAGAGCTAATTAAAAAAAATCATCTCTATCTTTAAAACACAACAGAATGCCAGTCAACTTGTTCAGCAAGGTTAGAATTTCTAGTGCAAAACTTGCAGGCATTTAATTCCAGTTTGACTCTGACCATCAGATTTCTAGGTTAGATATGAAGACTGTGTATGCGTATTTCAAGTTGCCATAATGGGCCAGCTATCAGATGTATTTTACAAGATTCCCCATGCAACTACAATTTTCAGACTTTAAACTTCAGGGCAGTTTTAGAAACTTTATTTTACATGTATGTATGAGAAAACATTCAAGCCCATCCTGGAAGTCCTGAAATAATGCAGACATTTGCATTAATACAATATAGAACATTATACATGGCCAACAGAGACAACTAATGTCTATTCTCCCTGCAGAGGAAATACTTTCATGACTACAGCCTTCCGCATAACCTCACTCCACAGCAGTTTACTTTTCATAAACCTGTGGTAGACCTACAATCCTGAAAAATACAGGTATTGGAACAAAAACTTTTATATCATACAGAAACCTGAAAAGTTCTGATCTTTAATACATCTCTGAATTGAAAACGTATCTCCTTCATTGCAAAGAAGAGTGCACAACTAAATCCAGAGATCAACTGTTTGTACAAAACAAGAAAATGTTACTCCAGCTGGTTGTTACAGTAATAAGGAGTTTAACAACACCTGGACATATCTGTCAAATTCAATCAGTTCCACGGAGAAAGAGCATACCAAACAAATGGAAATACAGACAGCAGTATAAAATAAATCAGTTTGCTTCTTGTGCTAGCATGAAGGGAAATATTTAAAATACAATATACTGCTTTTGCTTGCCACTTTAACTACAAAAGGTTGCCTAATGAGTAAACAACTACCATTAAAATGAAGGGTGCTATGACTGCCATTTGCAGTGTCATCACTTTAATTGAGCTCAGGATCTCCTGTGTCCTTGGCAGATTAGAAAACCTATATGGTATTATATTTCGAGTTTTATGGAATTCACAGAAATTCAGGAAGAACTGTATTAAGAATTGTATCTGTGTATAAGAACACACTAGTTACTATTTTTCAAGATACTAGCGGTAACTATTTGTGAGCACATTTAGAATGCTTTCAAAATAAAAGCTAATGACTTCTAGCATATTTCAATGCAACTTCTTTTACATTACATAGCATCACCATTTCTCATGGAAACATAAAATTTATAATTTCAAGACTGTAAGCCTCTTGTGACTAGCTTGGCATGTCCTTTCCTATTATAATGTAAATGTTTATTCATGTGGAATAATCATTCCATAAATGATTACCTGCATATCTGAACTTCCAAAAGTCCATATATCATCAGAAATGTTGCAACAGCTGTCCATAGAATCCAATAAAGCACATTTTCTTGTACTAGTCCTAGAGAAATACCTTAAAGAACTGTTTATTTGGCTTCAGAATTTATATTTGGCCAAATAGTTTTCTTTTTCAGAAACGTACCTTCAGCTATTAAATTACATAAACTATATGAAAAGAAATAAGTAACTGGAAATAGACAAAGCAGAATAAAATAATGTGAACTGCTTCTTCCTGAAACAGGTCTTGAGTTGAGAAAGCCCATACTGCATAGTTATCATAGATACAACAAAAAGCATGAAAGCTTCCATTCTGCATGTAATTAATATGCAATTTAATTACTTATCAAGAACTTTTATTTTTTCATAGTACTGTGCCCCACAGTAGTATTAGCCCTCATAAAGACCCATGGAATATCCTTGAAAGCTGTGCTTATTAAAATGATGTAAAGCAAACTCAGTGGCATTATTAATCCATTTTATAGAAAAGAATGCATCACCTTGTCACCTGAATTCCCTTTACAGAAGCGAAGATCTTTCAAAGGCATACTCAAGTTTCTAGATTACGCATAACACTTGAGCAAAAAATGTGGGAAGTTATGGATAGTAAAGGTTTCTGTGCATTCCCTCCTCTGACAGCGATCAAGGAAATTTTAGCTATTTCTGTATAATGACAGCATCCTGACAGACTTTGAAAAAAAGCAGTAATGCAAAGGAAATGATTAATGAATGTATGAATAAAATGCCAGGCTGTTAGTTTAAATGTCTCTGCACAGCAAGCTATTGTAACCTCTTTGGAACTAGTCTTTGGAACGAGGGCAACTCGCTTTGTACTTCAGATTTTAAAATAATCCATATACTTTCTAAGTAGAAGTTATTATATAGAAGCATTAGGCACATTAATTTTCTAGACGTATGAAGAATAACTTTGAACTCTAGTACTAAATGACCATGATGAAATCTATATACAGTCAGTGCTTCCTCAGGTGGTCTTTCAGATGAAGTTATTAAAGGGAGTTGAAGGTTAAAAACATATAAAAGGTGACAGTTTCACTTCAGCACATATACATTTGAGAGCTTTCAAGTTCTCTTGTATTTTTAGCTAACAGGCAATAACAGGATGTTTTAGGTTCGTTTACTTGGCTTGTAGATTTTTGTTCAACTATAGTAAAGATCTCTTAATAGAGACGATTGCTGAATGAAAGATCATATATGTGGAGATAAATGCCTGCAGCTAAGCAAACTTATCTCATAACTCCTTCCCCTTCTTAACAGGAATAAAAGCTATAAACAGATCCAAGTTGAATGAATCTCATTCAGCATTTCCATTTTCCACAGGTAAGAATTATGAACATGTTCCTCTCTCTGTTAGACAGTATTAAAGGAATAAAGGAAGAGCATTGAGACTTAAGCCACCACTCTCAGCTACCTATACACTGAATTTTGACTCCAAGCGTTGTAGAGGCCACTTTCTCTTAGGCTTATCTGGATGTCAAAGTTGGAGATCTCCTGGTAATTGTACCTGTCAAGAGGATATTGCCCATGCTTCAACAAGTAAACATAATAAAAGCCTTCAAGAAAGAGTGACCAGCCTCAAGTAAGTAGGCTAATGAGTTCATCAGACCTAACAGTGCTATGAAAAATAATCAAGTCTATTCCAGTTTTCCTGTGAAAGTTATGATGGAGACCTACTTATGGAGCCTTACATTTGGAGAAAAGCACCTAACCTGTGTACACTATAAGACAGTATCCACAAAGTTTCTAAATGTAAGTTGAAGTGAGGTTTTTCCTTTATTAATCAACAATCCAAGAACCAGAAAACAGGTAAGAAAATTCTAAACATGGTGGGGCTTTGAATCCAATTATCCAGCTGTTATTAAACAATATACCTTACTGACTCTCTGGACTAAAGTGCAAAAATGGAAATTGATGAAAAGTTGTGGCTACACATAGTCTTAAAAAAAAAAAAAAAAAAAAAAGCCGAAACTGGCAAATAGGGGCAAA